GTGTAGGTTACAATTCTGCAGGATGAGAAAGTCATGGAAATCTACTTCACAACATTGTGATAAACTTAACCCTACTGAACTGCCTACTGTTCATGTATGTTACGATGATGCATTTTTACCATAATGAAAATCAGTACACTAAATCCATACCAAAAACATACCGAGTTTGTATAATAGAGTTTGATCCTAAAACAATAAAAAAAAAAAAGATAAGGTCTCCCTAAGTTGCCCAGAATGGCCTTAAATTTAAGTTTCTCCTGTCTCAGTCTCCTGAATAGCTGGGATTACAGGTATGTACCATCTCACCTGCCTAGTCAGGGGCCTTAGTTCCTCTCCACAGAGGACTTTCCTCTCAGATACTTGGACTTCCTCACATAACAGCCAGGTTCTAGTGAGTATTCCAAGTGACAGGAAGGGAAAGCCCCTGGAGGCTTGGGCCTAGAAACGTCACTTCCATCCTATTCCATTAGCCACAACACCACAAATCCACCTAGATGCAACGGGAAGAGGCACAGGCCTTACCCTTGCATGAAGAAGTATGAGCCTATTCACAACACGCCACCCTCCAGATCGTCTGTCCCTTATGTTGAGGGCTTTTATTCTAATTGCTGGGGATTCCCTAAAGTCTTCTCTAAGGTCTGTGTCTTCTATAAGCAGTCTTCAAGAACTACTTCTGGGGCCCTAGCGTTCCCCATATCTAGTATCACAGAATATGCCTATGCACTGTGAAGACCTGGAGTCCTTCCCTTCTACCACAGCTTGCTCATCCACAGGCCAGGGCCTGCCCATGCTTGCCAGAGGAATGCCTTCTTGTCTCGGCATGAGATTCTACAGGTATTCTACAAGAAGAGTGGCAGGAAAAGAACAGTCTACTGAGTCCTTCTCAGAAATTTTGCCCTGCACACTACAGAAGTTACTGGCCCTGTGCTGTTACCCAAGTGATGCAATAAAACCTCTTCCCTGATAGGTTCTTACACAGACGTAGCATAGTTTAATTCTTCTTTATGGCTGAGTAAAACTCCATTGTGTGTATATACTACATATTCTTTATCCACATGTATACTGGTTCCATAGCTTGGCTATTGCAAACTTAATGCACCAATTTAAAAAGTAAATTAATAGAAGGAAGTACAACAGGGAAGAGTAATGGAGTCAGGGGAAAGGAGGAGAGGAGAGAAGGAGATAGTACTGGGAACAGAAATGAAGCAAATTCGATTATTATTTGCATTTGTGGATATGTCAAACCCCACAATTAGGTATTACTGTAATACACGAACTAAAAAATGCCACTTCCCTATCTGCAATATCCTGGAGCCATCTGTCCAAACATGACGTGTGTTCCTTTTTGTATCCAAGGGAAAAGTAGGGTGCTTGCAGGCAACATCATTGTCCAGTGAGTCATGGGCTAGGGAAACAGAAACTAGATATACCCCATTCTACAAACCCCAGCATTGAGCAAGGGAACCCAATGGTCAACAATGCAGACCTGAGACAGACTTCTTGAGTTAAGTTCCACTCTGCTAAAAACTGAGTGAACTTGGTCAAGTGACTCAACATCTGCAAACCTCTCTTTCCTCATTAATAAATCAGATAAAACAGCAACTATCTCACAGGATCAATGTGAATACTTTTAAACACTCAGCAAGTGTCTGCTTTGCTAGTTAGAGCTCTGTAAATATTACCTAGTTATCATAATTCAAGCCATAATAAGTCAGTGACCATCAGTACATAGTGTGGGCAGCACAGGTCAATGACAAGTTGGTGATATCAAAAGAAAGAAAAGAAGACAGAAAGACAGGGTTGGAGGATATAACCCTAGAGCAGGATTGAGACACTGTTCAACTCACCCTGGCTAAGAGCTCCTCTTTGACCTACCATGAGGAGAGGAGAGGTGGAGAGGCTTCTGTTCTAAATGGACACAGTTAATGCAGTTACATGTAAACAAAGACAGGAATAATTGTCATTTTCCTTTTTTCTTTCTTTAGAATACCACCTTATTCTCTTTTTCATATTTTAATTAATGCATTATAATTCTACATAATAGTGGGATTCATTGTGACAAATATGTTCATGCACGTGATCAATTTCATTCTCCAGAACATCCCCTTCCCTCATGCCCTCCCTCTCCCTGACCCCCTTCCTCAACTCAGCCACTCTCCCTTCTATTTACGTGAGGTCTTTCATAATTTTTTTCTCCCTAGCTTCCACATATCAGGGAGAACATACAACCCTTGACTTTCTGAATTTAGCTTATTTCCCTCAACATGATAGTCTTCAGTTTCATTTTTCTGCAAATGACATAACTTTGTTATTCTTTATGGCTGAACAAGGTTCTATTGTGTGTGTGTGTGTGTGTGTGTGTGTGTGTGTGTGTGTAATACATATATATATATATATATATATATATATATATATATATAACTTTGTTATTCTTTATGGCTGAACAAGGTTCCATTGTGTGTGTGTGTGTGTGTGTGTGTGTGTGTGTGTGTAATACATATATATATATATAAATGGTTCCATCACTTGGCTATTGAGTATCACTTTACAGTACTACCCTAACTGTATACAGATGGTCACTAATTTACAATGGTTCAATTTATAATCTTTTGACTTTATGAGGGTTCAAAAGTAATACAAATTCAGTACAAACCAAACTTTGAATATTGACTTTTACTCTCTCCCTGAGCTAGAAGCATGCAATGTGGTCCTCTGTCCTGACACTGGATAGCAGCTGCGAGCCGCAGCTCCCACTCAGCCATGTAATCACAAACGACCAACGCTCTACAGCATGCTATGCTGAGCTGTGCTGTTGGGCAGGTTTGGTAGATTCAATGCTTTTTCTGCTTACAATGTTTCTGACTTACAATGGGTTTATTGGTATGTATTAAAAATGAAATGACCCTAGGGTGAAATAATATCCTAGTTTCAGTTAGCAGGTGGCAGAACCCAGGAGCTCTGTTGCCCAGGTGAGCAATACGGTCACCAACTATACCTAGGTAATATTCCTGCTATGAGTTTGAAGGAGTCATATGGGAAAAAACAAAAGAGAAAAGGAAGTCCTCTGAAGAAAAGATGCAAAAATAAAATAAAATAAAACCACCTCTAAGAGAGTCTGCTACACAAGACAAGATCCATATCAAACCTAAAGACTCACTAGGTTGAAGCAGGAGATAGCCACAAGGAGAACACACACAGCTGTCAATCTTCACCTAAGCTCTGACTACATATGAATCACCTCTTCCATGTTGGGTCTAACTGAAAGGACAGTAAGGATCCCACACCCCAAGAATACAATCCTTTCTAAGCAGGAGTGGCAATTCAAAATCCCGGTGTACATCATCTTCATAGAAAGACTATTCCAGACCATATTATTATTCCTCGGACCCAAAGTGAAGAGAATCAGGTATAGAGTCAAGTTCTCATCAAACAAAACCATTCAGGATTCATATATGCACTCAAATCCCAAGCAGGACATGGTTTCCATAACAACCAATGAATTCAAAAGGCTTTGACATTAGCCTCCCAATTTCACAGAACATGGTACACTTTTTCAGGTTCTGATATTTGCAAGGCATAGACCACCTTGAAGAGCACTTCTTTATGGTTATAAAATTCAGGACTGAATAGTTACAAGCTAGACAGTTTGCATGAGGAATGTTCCAAGGAATGTTCTTTAGATACACCTCCCTTTTTATCTGAACTACACCTGAGAAACATTCCCCATCTTCCCCACATTCCTCTCCACCACCAACTCTCAATTAGGAAGCCTGAGAGTTCTGACTCTTGTAGGATTCTATTAGTCAGAACTTAATAGAAATGTCAGATTGGTAGACATTGTGGGACTTAATTTAAGAATGTAGATATTAAGAAAACCATGAGAAACCTGTAATGTTTGCCTCTACAGGAATCACTGGAGGTGGGCTCCAGAGGTCCAAAGAGAAGCTGATGGTGCCAGCAGTTTGGGAAATCATGAAGGCAAGATCTCGAATGTTCATGCATACATGCAGTTAGGACCCTGGAGGCTAGGGGTAAGATGATGCAGGGCATGAGTGTGTTCTATGTGCTTTGGACTTGACAGACATCATCTTATCTCACCTCACAGCTTCTCAACAGAATATAATTGATTTCACTTTACAGATGAAGAAACTGGAGCTCAGCAAGAATTAGTAACTTTCTCAAGTATGCTCATCTAATAAGAGATGGAGCCAGGACTTGAGCCCTGTTTTGTTTGACTCAAAAGCCCATGTGTTCAACAAAAGGGCCATGATGCCTCAATTATCACGAGGGGATTGTAAGACATGGATCAATGTCAAGGTTCTTTAAAATAGGAAACACTATATATAGGATCTCAAACTTGATTGCCTATGGGATGAGAAAACATAAGGGAGTATGTTTCACCCATGGATTGGGTGAAAGATATTTGGGGGACTGGCATAAGGTGGGAGACCAAGACCATCTTCTGTCTAAAAGACCATCTTCTGTCATCTCTGTCTATCCAGTTGTTGGTGTTACCACATCTACCAAAATTTTGAAGAGAAACTAGAGATCTGATTTTCATGCTGTTCACAAGACACTCTACTTTTTATTACAGCAGAATAAACAGACTAAGACAACTCTCCCCTGAACAGCCATTCAGAGGCCACTAGCATTAATGTTAAGAGCAATGATTTTGGTTTTCATTCATCCCAGAAGTATATCCAAAGCACTGTATCATCTTATAGTTTTAAAAGTCAGAAGAGTGGGGCAATAAATAAATACAATAAAATAATTAACAATATTCTATTGTATATTTCCAAGTAACTAGAAGAGAGGATTTGCAGGTTCCTACCACAAAGACACAATAAATCACTGAGGCGAAGCATGCACTAAATATCCTGATTTGCTCATTACGTAATGTACACATGTATTGAAACAGCACACTGTACTCATAAATATGTACAATTATTATGTGCCAATTAAAAACAAAATAAAGCTTTCTTAAAAAGTGAAATTCTGACCTTTAGGAAAAGGGGGAGAAGACACAACAGACTCTTCCGACGTTCATCTGCACTCCCATATGTCATCTGCTGGTATTCCAGAAACTTCCTTTCCAGCATATCCCAAAGGTCAGTGGGACCAGGGGACTGCCTTCCAAGTGGGTACTCAGGCTGCACAGCAGCAGACTGGCCTTCATTTTTTAAACCTGGGTCCTCAGGTCCTTCTTCAGCCTTTGAGAGATCTTCAGCCTCCATGCTGATCTGAATTCAGAACAAACAAAAATAAAAAGTCCTGCCTCATCACACTTCCTGATGACACTGGTTGTGGGACAAGGTACAGTATTCGTTCTGCTCAGTTCCTACTGAAGATAGTTCCTTAAGAATCTGAAACTGACTAAAATAAGGAAGACATTTTTAAAAAGAGATTCATCAGATTTGGATGGAATTGACAATCTTCCATGAGCAACACAGTGTGCTGGGTTCACCATACAGACCCCAGGTATCAGCAGAGAGAGTGCTCTTATTTTCTGTGTGGAAGTGAGGAAACCAGAGGGGCCAAGGGCACACAGGCAACTAGACATTAAGGTGGAAAGCAAACCTTTAGTACCAAAATCTGTCCCATATTATTACCTCATGCTGCAGCCTCTTAACTAAATAAAAGACACATGTGAATATTTTACCAGTGTTTGTAAAGGCATGTCACTCTTATTAAAAATTTCTTTCATTTTTATTTTTCATTTAATTAAGATATCATTCATATACCAAAAATTTTTCCATTTAAGGTTGCATCATTTAGTGGTTTGGGGTATGTTACATCATTAACTTTTTTGTATCCTGGTAAAATATAAATTTTTGCAGTTTTACCCATTTTCAAGTGCAATGAAATGCCATTGAGTACATTCACAATTTTTGCAACTATCATCACTACTTATTTCCTAAACTTGTTTTAGAGTCTTGTAATTCTTTATCTAAATGGTAACTTCCTCATACTGCATAAATCTGAACAGACAGATTCTTCCTTCTCAGCATTATTTGGTTCACATTCAATATTTTTAAAGAACTTTGCCCTCAAAATGAACTTTTAAATCAAGAAGCTTACAGGAGCCCCTCTTTGCATGCAGACAGGAACAATTATGCAGACCAGCCTGAGCAAGTCGACACGAGAACAAGAGCTTATGTGATGAAAATGGCCAAAGATTAACTCACCTGAGAGTGAAGCTCTGGAAGGTATTTTTATTTGTGTGCTTGAATTTTTAAACATCAAATATTCAAGTGAGTTGTGATTGGCTCAGAGGTTTGTGGTTGGCTCTTTGGAGTATAATAAACTCTAAGGTGACACCAGAATGTCCTGGCTTCTGCAACAAGCCCTCCCCAGACTCAAAGTAACCACGGGGGAAATTCATCCTGAGTTCAGCCAGCATCCAACAGTCACAGGGTAGTAAGCAGATAGAGGGACAACAGATGCAGCTTACCTAGTACTTTGCTCTCAGCCACAGCAACAGCAGGGGTACATCACATTTAATTTGTAGCTCAGACATACTGTCCTTGCAGGCTAGAATGGGGTTAGTACTATGTCAGCTGGCAAGGGGAACCATCCCACTCTGAAATTTTCTCAACTTTTACATGCATAAAATTTTGTGCTCTGACTCCTCTTTATTACACATGCTTCTTTCAGATTTCATTTTCAAAAATCACTGCTTTGTTGTTGTTTAAATTGATAAACAAATTATGGTTTAGCCATGTGATGGAACATTGTACATCCATAAAAATGGAAGGTGCCTCTGATAAACACACAAATGTCAAAACATTATCCTGAATGAAAGAATCAATACAAAAAGATCTCAGCTAAATAACTCCACTTTTTGTGAAACTAGAAAACAAATAAATACAATTTCTACTGATAGAAAGCCCATGAATGTTTTGGCACTGAGAGTAGGGATGGGCAAGTTTCCTAGGCAAGGGCACAGTGAAATTTTTGTGGCTATGAAAATGTCTACATATTGATTGTTATGGTGGTTACATGGGTGTACATATTGGGCAAAATGCATGAAATGTAAGCTTAAGAATGATTTTGCTATAGTTTGGATCAAAGGCCCTCATGTTAAAAGCCTGGTCCCCTGGGGGTACTACTGGAAGGTGGTGGGACCTTTAAGAAGCAAGGCCCTAGTGGGAGGTCACTGGACACATTCCCTGGAAGGGGCTGATAGGAACCCAGACTTTTCCTCTTTCTTTTTCACAGTCACCCATGACGTAAGGTAGCCTCCTCTGGTACCACTCTGTACTGTGCCCCCACAGGTCCGAATCAACAGGTCCAATCCATCATGGACTAAAACATCCCAAATCATGAACCCAAATAAACCTTTCCTCTAAGTTGACTTATCTCAGATATTTGTCACCCTAATGGATGTCTTGACTGACACAGGTGCATTTTATGTAAGTAAATGGCATCTCAAAGTCAATAAAAAATTATATGGGGAACGCTGACAGAGGAAAGTAGAATATGAAACAATATAAAATTAGAAACAAAGTCATTTTCCTTTCAATCCGAAGTACTGAAAATAAGACAAAAAAGAAGAAACCATTTCTTATTACAAAAGTTATGTCACATTGTTAAAAATTGGGAAGGAAGAAAATATCAGGAAGAATATAAAATTTGCCTATTCCCAGACAAATGATTACTGATATTCCAGCTTCTACCTATAATTCTATAGTTCAAGAAGAACATATTCCTAATACTGTTAAGCTAACTTTAGATATATACTTTGCTCTTTGGGGTGGTTGGCAGGAATTTTGGTTGGCTTATTAATTTTCTTTTTTGGCTTGGCCCTCAGGGGCGGGCAGTGGGATTGTGCACACCCAGTCCTTCCCTCATCTAACAAAGCTCCTTGTGGGGTTTGTTTGCTCCTCCACTCCCTGGACTTCCATTCCTCACTCCCATTCCCTGATCCTCACCCTACCCACCCCACCTGCTTGTGAGGTGGGGTCCCACAGCCACGGGCCTTAGGAAGCATGACCCGAGGTTCCTGCTTTCCACACACCTGCATTGCAAGCTACCTAATGATCCTCTGCATCTCTTCTGCATCTTCCTGGTTTACTCAGCATTATCTGTCTTCACCCCTGTGTGTCAGTTAAGTTAATTCTTCAACTTGCTGCCTTGTATTGCAAAGCGGGCAGTGTGTGAGCATTTACCTGTTTGTTCTCACAGTGATGGATGGCGAGATTAAACACAACTTCTGAAAACTGCACACAATGCCATGGGACCATTCCTGTGTGCGCTCCCTCTCGGGGCGGAATGTGACGGGCTCTGGGTGGGTACTCAGGAGGAGCAGAACTGAGTTGAGGACATGTGCCTTGCTCAGTTCAACCACATACCATGAAGAAGCCTCCAGAAAGCTGGAACCAACCACCTTCTCTATAATGGGTATCTAAAGGCCCCTCTGTCTCTTCATTGCCACCCAATTGGCATCACCCTACTTTCTACTGACCACCAATCCAATTGAAGTGAAGGGAATCCCTTATTGTCATGTTGATGTGTTTCCCTAAATTACTGAGTACAAGCATTTCTTCATAGCCTCATTAGCCTTATTGGGTTCCACCTTTGTGGTCTGACACTCATAACATTTTCGTTTTTCCTTTTCTTATCTTTTTCTTGTTGCATTACAAGAGTATATTCTAGAAGTTAGTCTCTTGTTCATTTAAAAAATTGCAGATATCTTCTCTTGATCCATTTCTCTTATAATTTGGTTCATAACTTCTTTCTCACAAAATATCATGAATATTTTCCACTTCATCTAAGATCTTTGATACCTTTATTTCAAATAGTTTTACGGTGGCCAAAGAGTAATGTTGACGATTTATTTAATAATCCCAGGCACCTGGGCATGTAAATGATGTCCAATTATTCACTACTGAAAAAACAACACTGCAATGGCAGCCCTGTGTCTAAGTCTCCCCAAGTATTCAGAATTAAATAACCCACCATAATAGTTTCCTAAATCATAAAAGGAAATAGCTAAATGTAGGGAAAATTTTCAGGCTCTTGGCCTGTATTTCCATCCTTTAAAAAAAGAAAAACAGCCTCTTTTAAAACAACACATCAGTAAACAATCCTCCTACCCTCAGTGTTCTTACTACCTCTGTTAATATATATTTTTGGAGGGTCCAGACTGGGCTCAGTCACACATGCCTTTAACTCCAACAACTTGGGAGGCTGAGACAGGAGGGATGCAAATTCAAGGCCAGTCTGTGCAACTTAGTGAGATCCTATCTCACAAAAAAATTTAAAAAGAGCTGAGGATATAGCTCAATAGTAAAGCACCCATGGATTCAATCCCCAGTATTATTAAAAAAAGAAAAAGTACCAATACTATTTTTTTAAATCTTGCTGATTTGACAAATATGACAGAAACAAAAGCAAATCCACCCCTGTTGGTCCTGGCTAATCCATGGCTTGGTTCCTTCCTTCAGAAGCTCTTGCAGTTGCTGCTCTGGAGTTAGACTCCAGTGTGCTGGTACTTCATGGGCTTCTTAAAGTAGGTCTCAGCTATTGCCATGACTTTATCCCCTGAGAACCACATATTGATAAACACTAGCTCTGTGAAGGCAAGAGCATTGTTCCTGTAATGGGAGCTTGCACAAAGTAGATGCTCAATAATATGTTTTGACAAAATGAATGAAAGTATAGATGAATCAATGAATGAATTAACCTATGTGCTACTGATTCCCAAAATTAATTAATTAGTTAATTCTCATTCTCTCTCTCTCTCTCTCTCTCTCTCTCTCTTCCACCTTGAGGGACCTCTCTGTGGAACAAGTTCTTTCTTTCCTCACTTCAAAGTTTCTGCTTGGATTTTCCCAAACACTGGAAACCACTATGTACCAAACTGTTATCTCTGCCACCGACAAAGCCTTCCCAGAGTCCAATATGGAGCCCACCAACCCACCCCTGTCTGCTGCAGTGAAGCTGAGTGTTGTTGCTGTCCTACAAGAGTCATTCTGTGGCCACACCTATGGTCATAACTAATCAGTTCATTCAGCAAATTGCATCTGAGGACCTGCTAAGGGACTCCATTCTCAGGATAAGCAAGTGGTTAGTCAAAGTGAGCATCGGGTCTGAAAAATGAAACCCAATAGAGCAGGCTGGTGATTGGACATCTGGGGAAGCATCAGAAGTCAACCCCCATCTCCTCTGGGTACAGAAGCTATGTTTGTTGAACTGAAACATTTGACTCACCTTCTCAGGAATAGACACAGAATTTTGG